AGGCAGCCACAGCAGTGGTCCAGAGAGGTGATGGGCTGGGACTCGGCAGTGGAGTATGGAGGGTTGGTTGATCAAAGATTAATTGAACTATATGGGAGGCAGCTAGGACAAAGTAAGTGCTCAATAAAGGCTAGCTTTTTAAGAAATATTTTTATTACTTTTTTATTTGATTTCAGAGAGGGGAAGGGAGAGGGAGAGAGAGAAACAATGTGAGAGTGAAGCATCGATAGGCTGTCTCCTGCATGCTCCCTACCGGCCCGCAACCTGGGCATGTGTCCCAACTGGGAATTGAACCAGTGACCTTTCGGTGCATGGGACGATGCCCAATCAACTGAGTCACACTGGCCAAGACTAAAGGCCAGCTTTTTGACAGGTCAGAGTCTTTGCTTAGAGATGCTGGCCCAGAAAGGATTAGCTGGAAAGATGAAAAGGACCCAGGGAGGACAGAGAGAAATCAGAGGGAGGGAATGAGACCAGCCCCCATTTTCTGCCTTGGTCAGACCAGCCCCCATTTTCTGCTTGTTTGTAAGAAAGCAGCCTTGGGCCTTGAAAGGCCCAGCAGTCGGAGACCAACGTGCCTCCATCCTTGGGAAGAAGAAAATTTGGGAGTTTGTTCATCAGTGAGACCTACCTCCATGTTCATCAGTGAGACCTGCCTCCACATCCCCTAAATACACACACACACACATTACAGAGTAGTTTCTGGAAGCCACATCTGTAGTACAAGACCACTTGCCAAGCCAGAGGTTATGGTTTGATGGATGTGGATACTGGAGTTTTTAAAAGCACCTTAAGGGATTCTAATATGCTGCTTGGAGTAGAGCTGTGAAACCTCTCCACTAACCTCCAATTAACCAACATGCTCTGTTCCTTCTGTAAAACCTGCTAACTGATGCCCTTAGCCCCCGATGTGCTGGCGGGCAGGCCAAGTTCTAATAGTCCTGAACTAACACTTCTGAAACCACGTGGAGTTGCATGTTTATTTAAGACTGTTCCCAAGTCAGCTGTGCTCATTATGGAAGTTATGTGGTTCACTAATAGTTATATCTAAGCCTAAGTGCTTAGAATTTTTAAAAATGGTTTTAAATAAAAAGAGGGTTTTATTTCTCTGAAAACAAACTGAATGCTTTTGTGTGTCCATGAAGGACAGTCTCTAAAATATTGCCCTTAAATTCAGTATTAATAATTATAAAAGGTTGGGAATGGAATTATAAAAATCTAGACATTTCCTACACTGAGATTGTTCAGCAAGTGCCTTTAACTTCTCACTCCACTCTAAAGAAACCGACAGAAACTGGACATTGTAGATGACATATGAATGCCAGGTAGCGAAAAACTCCATCAGCTCAACCTGGGGAGGACAGGGGAGCAGGTATCGTGCCGATACTGTGGGTTACCCAACTGCAACGCTCCCTTCTTTGCTGATAGAACCTCCACTCTGTTCCAGGCTCCAGGTCTCCTCCATGGGACCCAGATAAAGGTCCCCAATCCAGGGGTAAATCCTGATTGCTCTGAACCAGACATTCAGGCCTGCCCACCTTGCCAACAATTGGATCAGATATGACCATGCGATGACATCTGGCATTGAGACCTGAGGGAAAGTCTGCTGGGTGGGTGGTGAGAGGGAGATAGGAAAGAATTCTTATAAAGACAAATATATAGGGAAACATGCCCTTTTCTGCTGCTGGATGTTGTTGTGTGTGAAGATGACCCCAAAGCAGTGGCAGCCATTTGGGAGCCATGAGGGGAGGTAGCTGAGAACAACGGTGACACTGTACGAGTGGCAGAGCAAAAGGTGGCAGGAACCTGAGTCCTTGTTGATGCTGTTGATCTTCCATTAACCTCTACCTCTGGATTCTTGTTTATGTGAGATTATAAATATCCTTATTGTTTAACTTTGGGTTGTCCAATATGGTAGTCACTAGACACATGTGTTTACTGAGCACTGAATTTCAAAGAATTAGTACAAAAAAGAATGTCAAATATCTCACTAATAATTATATATTATAATGATAATATTTAGCAATGAATATTTTGGATATCATTAAATAAAAATATATTATCAAAATTAATTTTGCCTTTTTTAATCTGGCTACTAGAAAATTTAAAATTATATACATAGCCTACATACATTATATTTCTATGGAAAGAGCTGGTTTAAGTCTTTGGTTTAAGTCTTTCAGAGTTAGTTTTTTGCTGCCTGCAGGCCAAAAAAATATACAGGGATGGGCAAAAGTAGGTTTATAGTTAATACAAGAATAAACTCTGTTTCGTGTATTCACAACTGTAAACCTACCTTTGCCCACCCCTGTACATCCTCCTGTACATCCTAACAGATATGGGTTAGGATTCTAGAGTTGGAAACATTGAAACTAAGAATTTAAATAACTTGCTCATGATCACGTAAGTGTGGCAGTGGGTGGTGGTCGCAGACAAGGGACTTGGTCAGTGCTTTCGCCTCTGCACCACTGCAAAGCTGAGAACATCCCTTGCAAGTCAAACCTCAGCTCCGAAGAAAGCCTGGCCATTTCAGAAACCCAAAGGAAGTCTAGGAAATCCAGAGTTCGCTTTGAGACAGAGAAGAGACAAGTGGCCAGACCAGGGACTCTGCCTCCAAATAGAGAATGGGCACAGAACACCGCCCCTTCTGGCCAGTGACACCTGCCTATTTCTAGAAAACTGTGTGAGGTCCAAAGGTCAGTGTCCCCGGAGAACTGAACAGAGATGGAGAGAAAGGAATCAGGACTAGCTCTTCTCCAGGGGTCTCCACTGCCTATGGAAGTCCTTACCCAACAGCCCAGTGTCTTCCTGACCTCGACCCCATTTACCTTTTCAGCTTTGTCTTCCCAAATCTGCCAAAGCCCAGTTTCAAAGCCACCTCCCTTAGGACACCTCCCAGGCCACCGTCTCCCACCAAGGTCTCATTGCTTCAGACATTCATCACTTCTTACTTCCTATGGCAACTATCCTGTCTACATCTTGCCTATTTCGTCTAATAGCCATCCCTGGTCCTTCTGCATGTCCTCTCACGTTGTCTCAAATGTGAGCCCAAGATCACTGGGCAGGACCATGGAGGCATCAACAGATTTCACCTGGGGTTTACAATGGAGGGTGCGCACCAGAGAGTTCAAGGGTCAGTGGCCCCTGTCCAGGCACAGCAAAATCAGACCAGGTAAACCAGGAATGTACATTGTGGTGAACATGCCTGTCCATGCCATAGTCACCCATACAGGTCCTCCTGAGGTTAGAGGGCCTATCCGAGCTTGGCTCTAATCCACCTTGAAAGACCATGGACCCGGCATTCCAGAGAAAGCAAGTCAAGCCTGGGACATATTTGGGGGCAGCAAAGAATAATGGAAATTGCCTGGGCTTTGGAAACAGATAGACCCTATTGTGAATATCCCTTTAACCCCTCCACTTCTCTTTATTCCCACACATCCATCTAGTCTAGGCCTCACCAGTCCTCCCTGCTTGACTACAATAGCATCTTCCCTGGTCTCCTGCCTTTCCTGGTGCCTAATTCAATCCACCCTTCACTCCACCAGCCTCATCACCTTTATAAGATGCAGATCTAATCTGGTTACCCCACTTAAAACCCTGCAATGGCTTCCCAGCGCCTTGAGGAGGATTGTCGTGGGTCCTAGAAAACACATTCTGAGACTAAGATTGAGTGGGGACGATTCTGTGGTGAGTGCTCTAAGATCAAACAGCTGTAAGGAAGGAAGCAGGAGTCAACAGCGGAAGAACTTGAACAGTTACTACCAAGGCGTCAGCTGATCCCATGAGGATCTCTGGAGCTGGCCCTTCAGAGTTGCCCCAAATCAAAACAAGAAGGCTGGGTCTTTGTATTCTGGTATCAACCAGTCATTAGCTATGGGTTGCCCCAGAGTGAGGCACCGCTCTTTGACAGAGGGCAGTGTCCAGCTCTGAGCCATCGGCAGCTGAGGGAATGAGGACCCTGGTCCTGACGGGGCTCTGAGGGTGTCCTGCAACATCTACCGTAAGGATGAAGTCACATTCCTCACTGTGACCCATGAAGCCTGCATGACCTGGGCCCTGCCACCTTTCCACCCTCACCTGTCCCACTTTCTTTCTCAGTCTCTGTGCTCCAGCTTTTCTTAAACACAACAGACTCCATCACACCTCCAAAGCTTTGCACGTGATGTGCCTTCTGCCTGGCACAGTGTGGCCCTCCTGGCACCCAGTCAACCCCTGTTCATTTCTCTGCTGGGCAACGGAAGCCTAGCAAGCCCACTCTGCGGGTGGCTGTGAGCAGTGCCTCCAGCAATATCTCGGGCTGTAAAATGTTGGCTATCTTCACTTCATGGGAAAGAATTGCAGGTGACCAGTCATCCCAGTTTGCCTGAGACTGAGCTGTTTCCTCCAATGTGAGACTTTCAATATAAAAGCAGGACAGTTCCTGATCCAAGGCAACTGATTTGGGGATGGCTGGACACCCTAAATCTGGGTGGGAAGGGAAAAAGGGCATTTCATATTAGCACCATGTTCAGTGGTACACTGGTAAGACAGCTCTTTGGGAAAAATAAACAACCCTGATTTGTAACCTTAGCCAATTTCCATCGTAGCAATATTCCCATCATTGCCAGTCAAGCTACCAACGGTTAAACAGCCAGCTTGCACGAGTCTTGAAAATTTAACAGTGGGCTCTCATGAGCTGGTAGGAGCTGGCACCGGCACCCGTGTCTAATACAGACTGTCATGTTCCTGATATCTGCAAATAGGCAACATGTTCATACACAACCTCGACTTGGCAGTAAGTGCGGGTGTCTCCATCCCAAGGTCACTGCTGAAGTGGACCTTGGAGACCATCTAGTCCAAGGCAACACGTAATCTGCCACATGGGCCACCTCTTCCCCAGGCTCTGTCCACAACAGACGTTGCTACTTGATCTCAATGCTGGACCCTCCTAATGTGGTCGTGCTGTCTGCCCTCGCCACATCTCCAGGCAGACACAGTCAGTTAGCTGGTGTTGCATATGAAAGAAAATCCACTTACCCTTAGAAGTAAGTGTAGTTCAGCCTCTCATTATACAGAGGATGAAGCTAGGGCACAGGGAAGTAGAGGGGCTTTTCCAAGACCACCAGCCAGGCTCAGCTGGGACTAAAGAACAGATCTCCTGCCTTGATTGTTCTTCCATCTTCCTTGCTTTGAAGAGCTGAATCCCACAGTGGAGAGAAGAACAAAGGGCAATCTTATGGGATCTGAGCCTACATTCTAGAGAATTCTGCTTAGAGCCCCCAAATGCTTTTTATACCCTGAATGTCTGTATATTAATGTCATTTATATGTTGGGAGGAAAGGCACTTTTTAAAATTATAAAAGTCATATATGCTTTTTGCATAAAATTCTAACAATAGAGAAGTACGAAAAATAATATATCATTTCTCCAGGGGTAGTCACTGTTAAGAATTTAGATCCTTCTGTTTTTTCCCCTCTCATTTACAAGTCTATATAAATAACAAATAGACTAAAAGGTTAGCTGTTCCCCACTCTACCACTATCCCTGTCACTGAGCACACTACCTAGCACATACTAGGCACTCAATAAACACTTGTTGAATGGTTCTTGTTCACTTTAAATGTCTTAGATTCCTTTCTAGGGTATGGGTGGGTCCACCTTGGTCTTCTTACTGGATTTGTACTTCACGGCATGGTTTGTGAGTGAGCTGAATGGTCCCTTTGGGTGAGCATGTAGACTGAGCTGTTTTTCCCGTAACAGTCCCACAGCCTAGCATGTCTAACAGGCATCGGTGTCCAACACTGAGCTCCTGACTTTCCCTATTTGAACCCTCATTCCATCTCAGTTCATGGCAACACTGTCCTTCTGTGGCTCAGGCCAAAGCCATGAAGCCATCCTTGACTCCTCCTCCTCTTGCTCCCCATCCAATCGATCAGAAAAACCTGTGGGCTCTACCTCCACAAGAGCTCTCTAGCTGGCTTGCAAGGTGGCACCAAGTCCCTTCCCATGGCTCCCAAATGCTGCCGCCCGTCAAAGCACCTCTGTCTCCGGTTTCCCAGGATCACCACTCGAAGACCTAATGTGGAGGAGCTGATGACAAATGTCACCAGCTCCAGGAGCAGGGTCAGGTTGCAGGGGTGTATGACAAGTCCCGTAGCCTGCAGGGCTCCAACCCCCGCCCCCCCCAGTCCAGAGGCTGCTGCCCCGGATGACGCCCCACAGCTTGCACAAGAAGCAGGGGATTAACCAGGTGACATCGCCTGGATGCTGACAGCCTGGAAGCCTGTGACCTGGGTGAAGCCCTTTTGCCAGGCACTGGGTCAGCTCAGCGACCCTGTGGGCCTTGGAAACCAGAAATAATTGTGTCTGTGAAGGGGAGAAGCAAAAGGGATCAAGGGCAGAGTGTCTTGGTTCAAAAGGAGGCCACCCAGTGGTCATTCAGGCCCCTGTGTTCAGTCCTCCCCACAACCCTCATGTCCCTGTGGCATGTCTTAGAGGCATCTGCCATCCTCGGTGTTCAACACTGAGCTCCTAACCTTCCCTCTTCGAACCCTCATCCCATCTCAGTTCAGGGCAACACTGCCCTTCTGTGGCTCAGGCCAAAGCCATGGAACCATCCTTGACTTCTCTTCCTCTTGCTTCCCATCCAATCAGCAAAACCTATGGGCTCTATCTCCACAATAGATCCAGAGTTCAACCACTTCTCTCTGCCCTTGCTGTGATGAGTTGGGGGTCCAAGCCACTGTTGCTTCTCATCTGTTTTATTGCATAAACTCAGTAATAGGTCTCCCTGCTTCTACCCTTCCTGCACCACCTCCTCTCTCCCAGTTTCTCAAAACAGTAGCCAAGCCCGGCCGGCATGGCTCAGTGGTAAGCATCCACTTATGAACCAGGAGATCACGGTTCGATTCCCAGTCAAGGCAGATGCCTGGGTTATGGGCTCAACCCCCAGTGTGGGGCGTGCAATAGGCAGCAGCCGATCAATGATTCTCTCTCATCATTGATGTTTCTTTCTCTCTCCCTCTCCCTTCCTCTATGAAATATATATACACTGAGTGGCCAGATTATTATGACTGGCCAGATTATTATGACCACCCCATCAGTACTTCATTGACACTTCCAAAAATACTGAATATTGAAAACTTCCTAAGCAAATACTCTCAAGGTTTTATTATTATTATTATTTGCATAACTAATTCACTTCATTGTACTGATGGGGTGATCATAATAATCTGGCTGGTCATAATAATCTGGCCACTCAGTGTATATTTATATATATACACACTAGTGGCCCGGTGCACGAAATTTGTGCACAGGGGCGGGGGTGGGGGGGATGTCCCTCAGCCCAGCCTGCACCCTCTCCAATCTGGAACCCCTCGGGGGATGTCCGACTGCCGGTTTAGGTCTGATCCCACAGTACATCCCTCTTGCAATCTGGGATCGCTGGCTCCTAACTGCTCACCTGCCTGCTCACCCCCAACTGCCCTTCCCTCCTGGTCTGGTCACCCCTAACCGCCTCTGCCTTGGCCCCACCACCATGGCTTTGTCCAGAAGGTCTCCTGGAAGGTCTCCTGGTCTAATTAGCATATTACCCTTTTATTAGTATAGATAACAGTAGCCAAAGGAATCCCTTGAAACCAAGGCAGATCATGTCGCTTTTAGAGCCCTCACTTTTCTCAGAGTAGAAGCCAGATTCTTACAGTGGCCTGCAGGTCCCTGCATGAACTGTCCCCACTCCACTCTTCCTGGCAGGGATGTGATATGGGTGATGTTGCATCCTTCCCTATACATTTCATCAAGGGCCATATTGTCAGGTTGTCTTATCATTGATGCTGTGAGATTTGATCACTTTGTGAAGATGGTATTCATAAAGGATTCTAATGTTGTTAAAAAAATAAAAGGAATAGAAACTATTGTGCATGCCAAACAGCATTTCCTGCAGGCCTTGGTGAGTGACCCCCACTCTGAGCCCTCAGCAGCATGTGCTTGAATACTTCCAGACTCAAGGTGCTCACTACGCGAACGGCAGGAGGAGGGGTGCTGGAGTTCTCACTGCCCCTGGATCGCTCTATGGATTCTGTCAGCTAGGTCTAGACCCTCAACTCTCAGTTACACAGGAGCAAGTAGGGGCCCTGGATGCTGCGCTCAAGACCAGGCCTAACTGCTCACCTGCTTAGGAAGGATAGGAGACAACAGGACAACGCTCTGATCTATGGCAGGAAGAAAGCCCTGCACCCCGCACCCCACCCTCCGCCAGGCCCTCAGAAAATGAGACTCCACATTCTTTGCAAGGGTGTTTCAGCAAGGGCTGGTCCAGGCAACAGCTGCTGGGGACATGGAATTAGCAGGCCCTGGAAACTCAGCAAATCCCAGGAGACCAGCCTTGGACGGGGGACTTGGCCGGTTGGACACATGCATCACAGAAAACAAGGCCACAGAGGGGAAAGAGTAATTACGCCCACTTCCCTGTCTTGCTGAGGGTCCACTCTGCTCCCCCCGGGGTCCCAGATAATGCCAGGGAGCTGGCATGACTGCAACTCAGCTGGCTGTCACACTGACGCCTGGCTGTGAACTGAGGCATGAGATTTTCAAGATGAGGTTAAATTATGCTGATTCTACATTCGAAATGGAACCATGCCTGGCATGGATTTCATCTACACTGGCAGGACTCAAGGCAGAACTAAGTGAATCAAAGTCTTGGCTTATTAACTGCTCCAAAGTCAAAAGCTAATTTTGCAGGCCGTCCTGAATTAGTTCGCCCTTTGGATTGTACACAGAAATACAGAAAGGAGAATATATGCCTCAGCATTCCTATGTGGTAAGCATTATGCTAAGTTCTCTTATGTATCATCTCATTTCATTGTTTCAATCATATGTTGAGAAGGAGTTTGACATCCTTAACGGGGGAAAGGAAATGGAAGCTCAGAAAGGTTACACAATGTCCCCAGGTTCATAGAATTAAGAAGTGCCACAGCTGGGATTTGAACTCAGATCTGGCTACTCGAAGCCCCAAGCGCTTAAGGACCATGTGTCTCCCTTTAGTACTATCAGACTCTCTTAGGACTTCTACACATGATGTTTAATAACAATCAAGAAATTTTCAATTAAAAGATGTTTTTCTTAAATCTGAAAGTCAAAAACAAATAAAAAAAATCCTATTAGAATGAAGAAATTAATTTAGCAAGGTAAAAGGATCCAAAGCCAATATACAAAAGTAATTGTTTCTATAACCTAGCAGTGAACAACTAGAAAAATGAAATTTAAAATGCCATTTACTACATCATAAAAAATACTTAATTTTATTTAACAAAAGATTTGCAATACACTGAAAACTGCAAAACATTGCGGAGTGAATTAAAGACCTGAATAAATAGGGATATATACCATGTCCATGGACTGGAAGACTCATTGCTGTTAAGATAACCATGCTCTCCAAACTGATGCATAGATCAAATGCATTTTTAATAAAATTCCCAGCAAACTTTGTAATAGAACTCTACGAACTGGTTTTATAATGGAAATAGAAATGGAACTAACCTAGAATAACCCAAACAGTCTCGAACAAGAAGAGCAAAGTTGGAGGATTTACTCTGATTTAAAGTTTACTATAAGGCTCCAGTAACCAAGGCAGCGTGACATTGGCATAAAGATGGACAAATAGATCAATAGAAAAAATATTCCTTTGGGGAGCAATTAAATAAATAAATATGGACACTGATTCAAGGAACACATATCGCAGGCCCAGATAATGTGACACCAGGCTTAGGACTTCATCCTGGCAAATTCATTTAGCTTCTATGTCCAGAGTCCGTTGGGCTAAAATGAGTTGAAATTATCCACTTTGGGGAGGAGAAAAAAATTGAACATATTTAGAACATAGACGCTTGGGTTTTTGACCCAGTTGTCATAGTTACACACATAAATATAATTTTTCCAGCATGTAATAATAATCAAAGTGCTAAACAGATGCCAAACACTGTTCTAAATGCTTTTACATATATCAGGGCATCATTTAACTCTCTCAGCAAGATAGAATAATAGTTCTCTATCAATAGGATCGAGTAAAAGAAAATAGCAGGTACGTACTGCATTGAGAAAGGGATGATCTTATGATGTCTTATGATGAGCACTTTACATTTGTGTGTGTGCACAGGATCAAAATATGAAGTACGCACCCCACAGTGGGTTGCAATCATGAACATTTCAAAGCTGCTAGTGTAGTCCATGAGAGGGTTGTTAAGAAGCCTAAATAGTATAATGCGTGGAAGGTTCTTAGCACAGAGCCTGAGCTTCACTCATGTTTCCTGGGCAGCTGCATGGGGCCCTGAGCTCAGAAGGCCCTGCACGTGTTCACTGCTCTGCTGTCGCCATCTGAAGTTCTTACTGATTTGGTAGAAGGGGCCCCACATGTTCATTTGGCACTGCTCGTCCTGATTCTTCTCTGTAGTCATTTGTCATTCGTTAAAATACTTATATTATGAAATATTACCAGGTATTATCAATTCTACCTCTGTCTCTTGTTGGCTAGAGGGCTGTGAGTGAGAATACTTAAAATAATCTGTGTCTAAGTTTCCTCATCTATAAAATAGGGGTAATGCAGTCACTATAGAAAACGGTATGGAGATTCCTCAAAAAATTAAAAATAGAGCTGCCATACTCTAGCAATTCCTCTTCTGGGTATTCATAGGAAGAAGACAGAAATACTAATTTGAAAATAATACTAATATGCACCCCTAGTTCATGGCAGCATTATTAGTGATAGTTAAGATATGGAAGCAACCTAGATATCCACAAATAAATGGATGGATAAAGAAGATTGGTGAATATATACAATGGGATGTTATTCAGCCACCAAAAGAATGAAATCTTGCCATTTTCAACAACATGGATAGATCCTAAGAGCATTATATTAAGTGGAATAAGTCAGAGAAAGACAAATACTGTACGACCTCACTTATATGTGGAACATTAAAAAAATGAATAAACAAAACAAAACAGAAGTAGGCCCATAGATATAGAGAACAAGCTGATGGTTGCCAAAAAAGAGGGGTGAGGGGATGGAAATTTAAAAAAAATTTTTTAATACAAGAAACAGAGAAAATATAGTTTTTTCAACAAATGGTCTTACCTAAAAACAAAATAAATAAAAAATTAAAACCTTTCATCTACTACGGAAGATAACTCATCCCTTAGTCTTTTCTTTTCCTGGCCAACTAAACCAATTATTTTAACTTTTCTCATAAAATAAGGTAAAATAAAATAGGAGTGATATTAGCACTTCCCGTAAGGTTGCTGTGAGAGTTAAAGTAACACATGTACCACATGCCAAGAACAGCACCCCGCACATTGTACACACTTCCCAAATGTTAACTATTATTATTATTACTATTATTATTAATAGCCTTATGGAAAAGCTGGTTTTTCCACTGCACATTTGGGCGAGGGGATTATTGCGTTAGATCAATAGTTGGGGAACTTTGTTTAATAACCTGTTTGAGCACCAGATTATTTTGAGAATCTGAGGCTTTCTGAGGAAACACCTCCCGGAGGAACACGGATAGTCCATGCGCGTATGCACACATCTTGCATTGCATACATCTCGCCTCAGCTTTAGGGCACTTATAGGCCTCTGAGGCCAAGGCTTGGGGCCCAGGTCCACAACCTCAGAAACCATCGCTCACTGAAGGCCCTTCTAGTCCCGAAGTCTGTGGGTCTCTGGGAACAGCCAGGCTCCCCGCAGTGTACTACTGGAGGCCCCGGCTATGCTTGCTTTGGAGTTTTACCGTAAGTCGGCAGCTATTTTTAGTTTGGCTATATATGGCCAGGGGAGTAAAGGGCTATAGGCAGGGGGAGGGTGCCAAGAGGCTTATAGCAGGCTTCGGGGGCCAGAGCCCCTGTGCCTGTACCACCGTCCCCTTCCCACCAGACAACGGGAGGGCTCACCCTCCAGCCAGAGAGACACTTTAGAATCATGATTTTCAAACTTTCTGACCACAATACAAAAGTTTAGTAAGAAATAAAGTTGCTACTATAATACACACATAAACGTAGACATTTATACACACTGAGTGGCCAGATTATTATGACCACCCCATCAGTACTTCATTGACACTTCCAAAAATACTGAATATTGAAAACTTCCTAAGCAAATACTCTCAAGGTTTTATTATTATTATTATTTGCATAACTAATTCACTTCACACATACATCCACACACACTATGTCTCCAACTGAACAAATATTTTAGGAAACAATACCTTATCTTATTCTCCATTATCTTATTCTCCATGAAACACTGTGATGTTTTCTATTCTATTCTTTCCTTAGAAAAAATGCAGGTCATGACCCACTGTGCCACCTCCAGTTTGGAAGAGTGCAGTTTTCTTCGGTTTACAGCAGGCACCTATACCATTTGACTGCCAGGTAAGGTGGGGAGTGGAGGAAATGGGGCACATGGTCCCTTTGATCACGACATCTCAGAACTTCGGAGAAGATGCAAGTTTCAGCTCAGTCTCCGGCTGGACAGCAAGTTTTGGACCTCCTGGCTTTGTACCCTTTCTCTCCACCTGGAGCACTCGTCCTCCACCCTTGTCACCTGGCTGACTCCATTCATAGGAGCCTGGCTTGCCACTTACTCCAGGAAGCCTCCCTGAATGCCTGTCTGGTTAGCTGCCTGCCTCTGGCTCCCTTAGTCCCCGGTGGGTACTCCCCTGCCTGGTAGCCAACACACTTAGTACAATTTCATGTTAGATTCTCTGGGAGGCAGGTACCTTTTTCATTCTGTTAATTTCTCTACTCTACCCCCACCACCCAGTGTAGTGTAGTGCTGGCTAAATAAAAATCACTCAATACATTTTTATTGAATGAATTAATGATAGTTAATAGTAATAATAGCAACTACCATTTATTTATTTATTTTTTACTCCTCACCCGAGGATATTTTTTTCATTGATTTGTTTTTAGAGAGAGTGGAGGGGAGGGAGGAGGGAGAGAGAGAGAGGGAGAGAGGGGGGAGGGAGAGAGGGTGGAGGGAGGGAGAGAGAGAGAGAGAAACATCGATGTGAAAGAGACACATTGGTTGGTTACCTCCCACATACCCCCTGGTCTGGGCTGGGGATTGAGCCTGCAACCGAGGTATGTGCCCTTAACCAGGAATCAAACCCGTGGACCCTTCAGTCTGCAGGCTGACACTCTAACCACTGAGAAAACCAACCAGGGCAGCAGCTACCATTTACTGAATGCCCATTTATCCCATGAGAAGTCTTAGTAGAGATTAGGATAAACTCATTTTATGGATGAGGAAACTAAGGCTCTAAGAGATTAAAGAATGCGATGGAGCCAGGATGTGTGATAACCCAGGGCCACCCGACTCCCAGCCTTCCTAAGCACAGGATCTTAATTGTCCACATTCCGCCCAGCGCTACCCAGATGGGGCAAAGGGCAGGTCCTTAACAAACCCTCGGGGAACCGATGACAGGTTGATTAAAGAGATTTTCCAAAGCAGTGGCCACATCTAATTTTGGAGAGTTGCACCTCGTGTGTGGCTTGGGAGAGAGGATCTGTGAGGTTTCTAGGCTGCCTGAAAGTGGGGTCCTCTCATTTGGGAAAAGAGGCTGGACCAGGTCTTCTGGTCACCTGACTACACCTCAGATCATACCCAGGCCCCTGCAAAGCCTCCTTGATCTGGCCCCTGCCCACATCTCCGGGCCGCCGCTGCCTGCTCCCCTCAGTCACTCTGTTCCTGACAGCCTGGCGCTCTTGCTGTTCCTCAAGCACCCCAAGCCCAGTCCTGCCTCAGGGCCTTTGCAAGGGCCACTCCTGCTGCGGGGAAGTCTTCACTCTAGAACTCTCCATCCTGCTTCTCAGACTACCCTATCCAAAACATCACCCTCTTCCTTCTTTGCTTTTTTTCTCATAACACTCGCAACTTCTGGAAATTACATGTGTTTTCCAGTTTATTTCTGTCTTCATGAGACAGGAAACTTCCTGAGGACTTTGCTTGTTCACTGCCCCAGCCCCTGGAACTCGTGTAGGATGGTGCCTGGCATATAGATGATGCTCTATAATATTGGTTGCATGAATAAATGAGCCCCCCCCCACTTTAGACATATCAGGAGATCAACCTATAGCTTCCCCAAAATATGTGTCCCTGTGACTCACATCCAGGCCCCAATCACACACACCTTGGTTTGCAAGGAGAAAGAGAAGAAACATTTGACACCCATGCACTGTGCACCACTTTGCAACAGGAATTGGTACCTGGCAAGCACTCAAGGGTTATCTCCGTCTTACAGCCAGAGAAACTGAGGCCTGCTCTCTGCTTGTCCCTAGTGCTCAGCATAGTATTGGGCACAAACTCTAGTGAATTGCGTTGCACTGAATTGCAGAAGTTCAGCAACAGCTCACGGTCACTGAATTAGGAAGTGTGGTACCAGAATTTGTCCTCAGTGCTGTCCAGTTCCAGCCAGTGCCGTGCCACCGCCATGGCACACATAGAAACTCCAGGGATAGAACCTCGTTAACATCCAGACACTTTCGAGGGTGGACCCTCGCCAGATACCCACCGACTGGCAGCCCAATCAGCCCACCCTGCACCGGGGGCCACTCTCTCTACATGCCCAAGGGCCTCAGCTTGAGCAAACCCTGGGCTGACTGTGTCCTTCCTGCCCCCTGCTCCAATGTCCTCTGGCGCCAAATATGTGTTTTTTTCAATGAGCCATAGCTTTGAGTTGTCTGTGTCAGCGCCTCTCCCCAGCAGGGCACGTGAGGGAGGCATAGAATGACCCTGGGCTGGAAGGACCCTGAATGAACACTTACAGCGGGAGCCAGCAAACTTTTCCTGTCGTCGAATAGTAAATCTTTTAGGCTTTTGAGCCAAGAGACAAAATTGAGGATGTCATGTAGGGACTTTCATATCATTTTCACAAACAGTGTTGTTCTTTTGATTTTTCCCCCCAAACATTTCAAAATGTAAAATTACTGCCGGCTGCCAGGCTGCAAAAAGCAGGCAGCAGGCCAGTTTGGCCTGCTCTCTAAAGTTTGCAAGCCCCTGTTTTAAAGCAATACTCCTTAAGCTTTAACATGGGTAAGAATTGCTGGATGAGCTTAAAACAGATGCCTGGGTTGACCCTCAGATTCAGACTTAGCAGGTCTAGGGGGGGACCCCTGAATTTGCATTTATTTCTGATGCTACCTGTCCACGGACTACATTTTGAGTACTTATTTGAAAATACCCCATTTTATGGATGAGGAAACTGAGGCTCAGATAAGTGATATGTTCAAAGTTACCCCCGGTGGAGGAGGTGATGATATCTATTCTGCCAATTCCCAGGGCTGTTTTGCCACAGAAAATTCCTCTCCATTTCCTGAACCCACTGAGTTCTCTCCTGCTTCTGAGCTTTTTACTTATTTTTCTCTCTCCCACTCCCGCCCTCACAAATGCAATTTCCCCATCAAGATCCAACTCACATGTCCCCTCTTCTAAAGCATCCTTCTCTTTACTGCCACAGCACTCTGTACATACTTGTATATAATGGTTTGTCTACAAGCCTATCTTTGAAGCCTTGGGCTGTCTCTTATTCCTCTTTATGTCCCTTTACAAGGCTTGCAAATAGGAAGTATCACAGAAATATGCACTGAACAAAAGAATGCATGCATGGATGGGTAGGTGGGTGGATGAATGAATGAATATTTTATGATCTATTCCTTGAAAATCATTTTCTTGGCAAAGTTGAGCCTAGACCCCAGTTCTCCTAGAGCACACGCTAGAGTCTATTCCACAGTTGATGGAAAACCTAGCATGTGAACAGCAGCAGTTACATCTTAATGAATGTGTGTTGGGTGTGTGTTTATATGGCAGGCCTTTACTAAGCACTCCTGCCAGTCGTCTCCATAGCCCTTGATTGGCCCCACCTTTCCTAACAAGAGAATGGGTCCTGGAGAGGTAGTTTGCCTGAAGGCACACGGTAAATAACTCCCTGGCCCCTCTGCTTCTGTGTCATCGTGCCCCTTGCTCCTCCGCCTCCACCAGTGCTCCTCACCGCCTGGGCCCTACCCCCGCTGCGGGCCCGGCTGGGCTCACCTCCGTCTGCATAGGTCTCAGTGCCGTAGCCGTCCTGCAGGCCGTTGTTCCAAGTGCCCTCGTACTTGGCTCCGCTGCTGCTGCTCTGCCGGGTTCCATAGCGTCCCTTGAAGCCGTGTGTCCACTCGCCCTTGTAGAGCCAGCGTCCCTTGGTCTCTATGCCCAGCCCATGCCGTTTGCCCTGGCTCCAGTATCCCTCGAAGGTGTTGCCGCTGGGCCAGGTGTAGACGCCCGCCACTTCAAAGCCAAAGTTCCAGGAGCCCGAGTACTCGCCCTGGCCCTTGGGGCCTGTGCACAGCCCGTGCCCATGGGCCTTTCCATTCTCCCAGCCTCCACAGTACGCCCCCCCATCGTCAAAGTCAAAGCGGCCCCCACTCATCTCATCATAGCCCCCGACAACCTGACTGTCCTCCAGCTTGGGGGTCGAGGGCGATGGGGGTGCCAGCGGCACGCTCCCAGCTTGCTCAGGGCCGGGCCCCCCACTCACCACCGCCGCACCCCAGCAGGGGGAAAGCAAGATGCCACCAGAGGCTGAGTGAGCCCAGGAGCCAAGTCAGCACTGGGTGGGCTGGTCAGTGCCATGCCTGGGAGGCCCCTCTCAGTCAGCCAGAGGAAGGCTGCCAGTTGGGAAGGAAGCAGGAAGGAGAGATTCAAAGCCTCCACAGAGCATCCCGAGTCTGGCTTCCATAGAGTCAAAGGAAAAACGCTGTGATCCCTTTAAGAAGCACAGCGAAAGGGTGGGGTGGCGGGGTCCCCAGTCCGTCTCAAAGAGGGAAATTCCCCTTGGTGACCGTCCCAGCCCCCAGGCTGAATTCCTGCAGCCCGCCGGCCCCTTCTCCTCCACCCGTGGGTGTGGGGTGTGCGGGGCTGTCGATCTCCTCGAGGCTGCCCCGCCCCTGTCCAATCCTGCCCTCCTCCCGGACAGAAAGGTCAGTGTTGCCCTAACAAGGCCATTGGATCTCAGAAGCTGCTCCCAAAATAACCCCCTGGCCAGCCCAGCCTCCTTCAAAGTGGGAGGGGTGTTTCAGATCGGGCTGGTGCTTCAGAGCCTGGGAGTGGCTGGAGGGATGAGGAAGGGAAGCTGAGAACAAAGTGTAGGCAGCTGGGGCGACCTGATGGCTCCTCTTCCCCTGGGTAAGAGCTCTCTTCCACCTCAGGGTTCCCAGAGTCTGTGGGAGCGAGCGGGCGGAGGAACTGGGAAGGGAGGGGAGGGAGACCAGCAGAACACCCTGTGCTGGCACACTCAGAACCCCCCAGGGCAAATCTCAGCCCCACCGCCACTCACATGCCCTCACAGGTCCTGGGGCTACGGCACCACTGCCAACCCCAAAAAAGGAATCTAGTGACTACAGAGAAAGGAATGGGGCCTGGTTTCACAGATGCTTTTGAAAGCAGAGAAGTGAGGGTCTAGAAGCGGAGTCTGGAGCTGCAGCAGATCTGGGTCCAGAGCTCATGCACAACCTGAATTCCCCCCACCCAGGAACTCTGAGAAAACCCGGGGGGAACCAGCGCAAAGGCTCGGATCACTCCCGTTCTCTCTCCTGCGGGGTAAATACCTCCTCTGAAGGGCGAGGAGTCTGTCTGTCCTCCATCTCTGAGACAGAGTTGCCAGTTGTGTTAGAAGGAGTTCATCTCAGAAACACTCAAGGATCATGATGATTTTTTTTTTTAATTCTCTTTCCAAGTTCTTCTGCTCCGGTGTCCTAAGAGCCGGTGAAGCCAGACTTCATAAAGTTCCTGGGGCAGGTCAGGTTCCCAAGCTCCAGCGAAAGGGACACATAAATCTCCATGACATGAAGCTGTGGCCGGGGCTAATGACTGGAAATCCCAACTGAGCCCAGGGTTAACAGGGGCATGGAGTAACTCCGAGGAAGGTGGGAGCCACCAAGAACAGGAAGCTCTGTGTGTGTGTGTGTGAGGGGGCGTGGGTGAGGGGGGGGGGGGGAGAGAGAGAGAGAGAGAGAGAGAGAGAGAGAGAGAGAGAGAAGAGTAAGAGAGAGAGAGATGGGGGAGGGGAGGATAGAGACCATTAAGAAAGCAAGCACAGGAAGTCTCTGAGAACATTACACGATTATCTGATTTCAAACTTATCATACCCAAATTGCAGGATGACTTAGGCCACTTAAAATCACGGCAGAAGTTTGTTCATTTCAGAAACGGATAGAAGATGTTTTCTTCCTCCCTCCCAGCTGATTCCTAGTTCTTAAGACTTGGCTCCTTCATCGTTCACAGCCCCCTGCCTTGAAAGGCCCCTTCCGTGTCCACGTTTCACCCCCAAGTAGAAACACCCAGCCTCCGCACGCACTATCACTGGCTGTTTGCCAAGCTGACAGCGAGTAGCAGTAGATAAAGACGGTATCATCTGGGTTTTGTCTCGCCACCCGGCCAGGCTGACTGACAGCCTGCGTGCACACTTCCCTAAGAACAACACCTCAACGCTGTCCCCAGAGAGTTCTGCTCTTGCCACTTCTCACCTAAGTCCCTGGAGAATCCCCCCTTTCTTTCTAGCTCTGCTCTCCAGGGGAGGGGAAAGGACATCTTACACTGGAAGCCTTTTGTAGTTAAATGCTGAGCAAATCACCATAATACTGTTCTAAGGCTGCCTGGCTGCTGTGTCCTAGAGGACTGTTCACCTACATAAATTTAGCCAGTTCCCCCATGCGGCTCCCTACAGTGGTTCCCTACCAAGGGCCTGTACACATAACAGTCACCAGTAGAACTTAAAAGACACAAACAGATTCCAGACCCCTCCCCTCACCCCCAACCTACTGAATTCAATTGTCCTGGGTGGAGGCCAGGACAGTTAAATTCTTTTTAAAAGATCAGACGAATCTGATTCTCATTCCTGGTTAAGAACCACTGTAATGTCAAATTAAGAAACTGTTTCTTAATATAACATTTACATATTCATGAATCTACTTACTTAACATAGGCTATGTATGTTACCAAACTCAAGGGGTTCACTGCTTTGGGGTACTTTATTCAAAAATGAGACATGGTTGTCCCAAGGTAGTTTTGTTTACTTGCAGCAAGTAAAGAAGATGAGGATTTATAACCAAAGCTCTGTCTCCTGGAAGGGAGGGTTAGCCATTGCTTAATACACTATTTGGTCACTTTCATGTTGTTATTTGATGTTTGTGTGGGTTTTTTGCAGTTGGCTACTTTCATCCCCTTAAAGTTCTTGTCACCTCATCCTGTTTACTGTTACATCTGCAAAATACTGTGCTACATTTTAACATTAAGCAAGAGATAACATTTAGTAAGAATGGCCCAAACCTTGAGACCCTTGTCCTATCTAACACTTGGGGCAAATAATTGTGGAGTTAGATATCTGTTCAAATCCCAAGCTGTGTGACCTTGAACCAATTGTTAATTTCTGTAAGCCACAAATTCTTCACCTGCAAAAGTACCTTTCTCAAAGGGTTATTAATACTAAGGCTAACAATATCTACCTTATATGGCTGGGTAAAGACTATATGACTTAATACTATTTTTAAAAAGACTGAGAACACACTACACAACTAATAAACTTTAGCTATTATTAATATTATCTCCACCTGATGTTACTTTCAAACTATTATGCTTAATAAAATAGTCACCAGAGGGAAGCGATCACTCCCTAAATATTAAGTACAGTGAAGTACTGCTTACTCTTCCCAGTATGTGTTCACTCAACCTTACCCTGTGGTTTTTCATTTTTAAACTGATAAACTATGTCACTGTTAAAGGGACACTTTGACTTCTTAAAAGTTTAAGTAAATTCTTTGCCAAATTTGCTGCTGGCCTTACCGGGACCAGGTTGAGCTTCTTGAGCCCGCCATCCCTTTTTGGCCCTGCCCTTTAAACCAATACGGTTCAGGGAACGGGAGACCTCTTGTGGCCAGAGGTGCATTAAAACAGATTTTCCTTAGGAAAAGGAAGTTCTTTCCACCAAATGGAATTTACTAAAACTTGGAGTGAATTTAAACAGTTTTAAAAAGTATCTATCTCATTCCTCTTTTTCCCAGGTCTTTTCTTGCTCTGTGGTTCTTTGGTCAGATGGGGTAGTCACTGTGTCCTGTTTCCTTCTCAACTTAAGCGTGACTGCTGACTGGTTCCTTATCTCCTCCTGAGTCCAAGCCTTTATAATGGAGAGAAGGGAACTGAAAATCCAGAACAGAGAGGACTGCACATGGAAACCCACCTGAGTTCTCAGCGCTGAAGACTCAGCTGAAGAAGCCTCATCTCCCCAGACAAGGCTCCTGGCTGGTTAGGTAACTTCCCATGCTGGCTCCTCCCCCCAACTGGGAGGTGTTTTGAAGCAAGGATTATCTTCATTCCAAAACAATGCATGAACACCTACTCTGTGCCTGGCACTCTGGCTCATCTTTGTATGCCCTTGCCTGCACATAGTGGGTTCCCCTAATCTCTCTTTCTCCTTAGCATTTGGCAGCTGACAGCTCCCTTCTTAAAATGCTTTTTCATTTGACCTCTAGAACTCCTCTCTTGGTTCTATTCCTGCTGATACTACTCAGTTTTTTGCTGGTTCCTCCTCATTCCCCTGCCCTCTATACCCTGAGAATGTCCCAGAGCTTGGTCCTTGAGCTGATTATCTACATTTGCTTCCGAGGTGATCTCCTTCAGTCTCATAGTTTAAATATAAGCATCCTGACTCTATCTCCAGCCTGAACCGCTCTCCTATCTTCAGTCATATATCCAACCACCAACTTAACAGCTCTACAAGATGTCATAAGCATCTCAGACTTAATGAAATCAAAACCAAATTCCCAATTCCTTCTCCCAGACCTGCTCTCCAGGTTATTAAAACCATTGGAATCACCCTTAATTCCAATCTTTCTCTCACACCTGATGTCCATTAGCAAATCACTTCAGCTCTCCCTTCAAAGTGATTTCAGAACAGCTCTCTCTTGTACTGCCAAGTGCCCAGGCCACTGGAAACCATTGCCTGATTTACTGCAATAGCCTCCTAACTGCTCTCCGTGTTTCCTTCCCCTGCTCCCCCTGGTCCAGTGGTCGGCAAACTCATTAGTCAACAGAGCCAAATATCAACAGTACTTCTTCAAAATAGACTCGCCCAGGCCGAAAACCGACTTCTGTGCATGGGCCACGAAGTTTCAATCGCGCTGTACGCGCGCCCGCACGTGGTATTTTGTTGAAGAGCCACACTCAAGGGGCCAAAAAGCCGCATGTGGCTCGAGAGCCGCAGTTTGCCGACCACGGCCCTAGTCCACACACAGCAGCCAGTGCTCTTTTAAAAGGCCAGGTCTTTGTGGCTCAATCCCCAATGTGGGGTGTGCAGGAGGCAGCCCATAAATGATTTGATGTTTCTATTTCTCTCTCCCTCTCTCTTCCTCTCTGAAATCAATTAAAAAAAAAAAAAAAAAAGCCCAGCCAGCGTGCTCAATGGTTGAGCATCGACTTATGAACTAGGTCACAGTTTGATTCCTGGTCAGGGCATATGCTGGGGTTGTGGGTTCGATCCCCAGTGCGGGGCATGCATCATCATTGATGTTTCTCTCACTCCCTCTCTGAAATCAATAAAAAAAAATATTTTTTTAAAAGGCCATGTCTGATATGTCTCTTCTCCAAACCCAAATGGTTCCTTATCTCCTCCTGAGCTGAAGCCTTTATAATGGCCTAAAAGGTCCTCCATGAACTGCCCCTGCCCTCTGCCTCTGTGACCTCGACTGCCTCAAGACATTCTTGCTGTTCCTCTAAACACCCACATGGGTCGCTCCCTCACTTTCTTCAGGTCTCAGCTCAAATGTCACCTTATCAGAGGCTTATCTGATCACCCCAAATAAAATATCAGCCCCTCCCCCTGCCCAGCCCTGATTATCCCCAATCCTCTCTCCACAGCACGTTCTCTGAGGACAAGGATAAGTTCTGCTTATAGTTCTATTCCTAGTATAGTGTTTCTGGTGTTTCGTAGACTCTTGGTAAATGTGTTAAATAAGTGAATGAATATTCAATGAGTAATTATTAATACACATGTCAGGATGCTCCTCTTCTCAACATCAGAGTATTAATTTCTCAATCAACAATCTGAACCAGTTTCCCCAGGACACATCAGAGAAGGATGAGTTCTGTAAGTGGCACTCACCGAAGGTCAAATGTCCCAATGAGGGATGCATATTAATGTTGGCCCAAATAGGTCTGAACAGAGTAATTTTTAACTTTAAGATTCTTGTTTTGAGGAAGATATTGAAATGTAAATACAATTCATTCCTGCAAATCTGGAATGCCTAAGCTTCCATCCAAGTTTGGATTTCTTCAACAGGTTACTCAAACATTGGAACTTTCTTTTTCATCCTGACACCTCCTCCTCATAACAACTTTGTCTGAAAGGAATGTGCACCATTCTTCATTCTCTGGTGACTGTTCTGTTAATATACAGAACGAAGCAAATAACCAGACGACTGGTTTGAAAAGCAAACCAAAAAAGATTTAGGGACTTGGGAACCATCTGAATTCAAGTAACATGTTAAGCCCATTTGCTCCATTACTCTCCAGTAAAAAAGGTGAAAACAAGAGTTGTGGAGGTGAGCGTGGGTGGTGGGTACAATCAGCTCTAATGGCCTACATTAGTGGTTCTCAAAGTGTGGTCTGGGAATCTACTCTTTCAGAGGATCTGCAAGGCCAAAGCTATTGTCATTAAAAGTTAGGTGACATATGTAAAATTAACATTATTTTTTCAAACTCTTTGTCTCACAGGTGGTTTTCCAGGTCACGTGACAGGCAATGTCACAAGAGACTAAATGCAGAAGCAGACATGAGAATCTAGCTGTCTTCAATTAAGCCAAACATTACAGGGATTTGCAAAAATGTAAAACAACACAACTCTCCTCATTAAATACTTTTTTGTTTTGGAAAAGTTGTTTTCCAATTTAGAGTCTATATATAAAAACCTAATATGCAAAGTGTCTCCTCAGGAGTTCAACCAACCGGGAGTTCGATCACTCGCAATGATGTGTGCTGACCACCAAGGGGTGGTGTAGAACGAAGGCAGGCCCAGCCTGCAGCTGGTAGCCAGGGGAAGGCCCTGGCCGGCAGCTGGCAGCCACTGGGGACTCTACCCCTGCATGAATTTCGTGCACTGGGCCTCTAGTATCCTAATAAAAGGGTAATATGCAAATCACTGTCACAAAGATGGTGGCACCCATAGCCACAAGATGGCGGTGCCTAGTCCTCTCAGCCCCACCGGAGTCCCAGGGGGCGGCCGCTGAGAGCAGGCAGCATGAGTGGCCTGGCGGAATGCTTGCTGTATAAACAGTGCACCTTCTGTTAGCATTATGAGACCAGTACCTGTTACAGTCCCTAGTGCTGTGATGGAAGGCATTCTGCTGCCTTGCTTGATGCACAGCCTTCAGTACTACTCAATCCACACTAAACTAGTAACTAGCAGGGGTCTCTCACTAAAGTTCAGGGCTTTTCCAGTAAATACCCTCCCCACTTCTCCCAAGTCCAAGTCCACCTATTTGTAAGCCCAAACTCCACTGTCATGAATCAACCCCACAGACAGTGGGATGTTTTAGTAAAGAGTAAACCTTACTTTGTAATCTACGTAAAACAAACTTTTTGTTAACATGGTGTTAAAATGGCTAGACAAATTTTCACTGCATTCAATGGGCATGCTTAGGATGGTCTGAATTAAAAGTTAGGTGGCATATGTAAAAATCACTTTGGGACTACATGAAAAAGATAGGGATTCATCCTCCAGCTGAAATTGAGGATTTTTTTTTTAACCAAACTTTAGAGGGCATTTCGGGATGATTGACCAGAAACACAGGATATGGCATGTATAAAATTCTCTTAGGGGTTCCTGGGGTAGGAAGGCAGAGCAAAGATAATATCCATCCAGAGCATTTGAAACTGAAGTATGAGATCTACATTACAAGTGACTGAAACATGCCATATATATTAAAATGTGAGAGACAGAGAAGACAAATACTAGTTTCAAATATTACATCCCCTCGCTCCAACTGAAGCAGCCCATTCCAAGCTGCTTCTTCCATGAGAGACGTCATGTAACATGCCTCAGGATGACCACCACCAGCAGGGTTTGCTTAGTGATGGCTAATGATTCTCTCAAACAACACAGGGTAGGCCAGCTAGTTTATTCATATTAAATCTAAACTCTGGATCTCTGGCTTAATAACATAAGAAACCTGTAAAGACAATAAATTTTGCATTAAATCAGAGATGGCTTAAATCAGTCATAGAAGTTCTAATATTCTGAGCTGGCAATTACTGCATAACGAATGTTCAGTCCAGTTACAAAACCACATTTCATTTCCTTGGCCACAAAATCTTTCAGATTTGAAAAATGCTTTTACCATGTACCCACTGCTACCAGTCACGTAATTATAGTTTCTTCATCCCCCAGGAACATCACTCAGTGAAAGGACTTTTTCTTTGATCAGTTTGTAGGTATGTAAGAACTCTGAGAGTAAGTTTAAAGAATGAATATGAACTGAGATGCCAAGTAAAGTTTTTATTGCAAGCACAGTGAGCAGGAGGTGTCTTCTCACACAAAGTGGCTGCCAGGTCTGCCATTAACTACATCTCTCTGACAGCCCTTCATTGGTTTAAAGCATATTAGTTGGTTCTTGCTATCAGGTGTACATCATTTCTGCCATGTGGGACATTTTCTTGGGAATATACAAGTAATATTCCATGTAGCCTGACAGGTCCTCAATGGTCACATCATCCACATAGACTCGAGCTTGCTCAGAACAGGAGCGCGGGGAGCCAGACAGAGTTCTGGTGTGAAGCGACTGAGAATAGTCCTCAAGCGTGGATCTTCGTTCTGGGGCCAAGGGAGGGACATTCTGCAAGCCTGAAAAGGAATACACCTCCATATCATGCCACCTCTTACACTGGCACTCCTTGCCTAGGCATGCACATGGCTGGCCCTGGTTTAGCTTGGAAACAGATTGAAAGTCAGAGAGTTCATTGGCCTTGAGACTTGCTTGGGAGACTTGAGTAGCATCAGAGGAGTCTTCCTTCTTACTCTCTGACGGCAGCCTTGGAACCGAAGTTCTCAAAGGCTCAACAACTGCCCCTGTGTGATTAGTATCGAGAGAAGTAGAGCATTCTCCTGCATTGAAGTCTTTAGGGGTTGAAATTCCCAGCACACTGCTGCCATCAGGGGAGTCAGTCTGGCCTTTGTGCTTGAGCTGGCTGCTGGAAGAAGATGCTATTGTACTGCAATGTATAAACTTTGGGGGATGAAGGACAGGAGATTTAGATCTTCGACGACGTTGGGTTCTCATTGCTCCTCGTGAAGACTTCCGTGTAGAGCTAAGAGGAAAAAAAATGTACAAGATGTTGGGATACAGAGCTCTCCTAAACAAATGTTTTAGGACAGTTGGAAATCTGCCCCCTCTCAGACTTATGAGTCTAAGAGGTCATAAGTTTCCCCCAAAGGGATGTGCCCACCTCCCTTTTAATCTGCCTATGTCTCTGTGTCTCAAAAACGTCAACATCTCCATATTAGCCAGTTACAAAAACAGGAGAGGTAAAGGGTAGTTTTTACCTGCATTTCTTGAGCCAAACATTTAGTGCAGAACACCCACCCTGTCCCAACCCTTGGCTCAGGAACCTGTGACCCAACGGGTTTAGAGAAGCACCCTGCACAGACAACTGTAGGGTGTAAAAACTAAATGTTTCTATGCCTTGAATTCAGCAGCTTCAGTATCACTGTGAGGCTAATGCTACAAATGGCCATTATGGTATGATCTCTAAACAGAGCAGCAGGTTTAGGGTTCATTTCTATCACTGATTAACAGCTGACAGATTTAGACTCCTGAAGTTTTCAGATACTGGGACATATTAGATAAACTACATAACTTTAAAAAAAATATTTAATAAACAAAAGAACCAAGCAAAGCAAAAAGGAGACAAAATTGCCAAGCAAGTTTGAAAACAGAACCAAATAGAACTTTAAGAAATAAACTTTATATTTGAAATTAAACTAAATGGATGGGCTAAGCAGAATACATACAGTTAGGGAAAGAAATACTAAACTAGAAGATATATCTAAATTATTTATAACAGGGGTCAGCAAATTACAGCCTGTGGGCCACAGAGACCAGGCTGAGGTGTCCCCCCCCACCTCTTTGGCCATTCTCCCCGTCACTCCCCATGCCTGCCTTCCCGGCCAAAAGACATCAGACATGCCACACCTCTGCTTAGGGTCCATGCTGACTACTATTTACATGTTAGGGCTCTGCTGTCGGCAATCACTGGGCACTGAGAAGCAGAATCTCAGTTTGAGTGTCTGGCCTGTGCCAGGCTCTCTATGGAAGAGAGAAAGACATACTAGAATCTGAGTACCACTAGGGCAGGAAGTAAAACTGACCCTGGCATTGCCCCCAACCCAGCCATCCCACAAGTCTAGTCATTTCATCCTGAGACTCTCAGCAGCAGAACACAAAGTGTGTCCACCAGCCAAGATAGCCCACATCAGGCAGGTAGGGCAGGAGTTTTCTCACTTATGTAAGTACCTACATAATATCCTCAGATCTCACTTCTCGCCTGCCAAAACCTAAAATATTTGCTATTTGGCCCTTTACCACAAAAAAAGTTTGCTGACCCCTGACCAAGAAGGCAGCACAGAGACGTGGAGAGCTGGAAAAAAGTAACAGTTAAGAGATGTAAGACTAAGAAATCTGGAGTCTCTGAAAGAAAGACTATAGAAAAGGAAAGAGAGTGATTTTTAAAGAGATAACAGCTGGTAAATTTTTTAAATTGATGAAAGGGAATCTATAGATATAGAAAGCACACTGAAGCAAATGACAGATACACTGGAGCAAACTATAGAATACCAAACCCAACAGGAACTGCTGAAGAGCTGCCTGAGACTAGACAGATTATTTCCAAAAGAACAATTAGATGAAAAGAAGGTTTTTCAATGTCAACATGGAAGCCAGAAGACGAGAACTAAGAGAAAATAACTATCAAATCTAGAATATGATTTTAGGTATATATCAACTCAGGTCTATCTTCAAAGAACAAGAATTAAATAAAGCCATTTTCAGATAAATCAAAACAAAATATATTTACCAATAGAACATGATGTTATACAACTCCAGAAGCATTAACTTTATTCTATATGGAGTTCTATAACACAGAGGCCCTATTTGCCAATAAGACCTTCACTAAAGGAACCTCTGAAGAAAGTACTTTAGGAAGAAAAAAAGTGATCCTATGGAAGGTGTGAGACGCAAGAATGGTAAGAGCAAATAAAGTGTAAATGAGATAAATCTAAATAAACACTGTCTATTTAAATAATAATGAAGGTAAATAAAACCTAATTTGTAAGTCTAAAAAGTGATAGAACTAAAATACTGGGCAACTAGATCATGGAAGTCAGATCAGAGTAAATGGGTTTTAAGAAAAAGGGTTCAAATACTAACTTTTGTCTTTGTTAATAAGCATGTATGGTAAAATTTCAAGGCTAACTACTAAAATAATAGAAACAAAGTATACAATCTCCAAACCAATAGAAGGGAAAATGGTAGGGGGAAAAACAAACCCATTTCAAACAATTTTTTTAAAGATGAGAAAAGGAAATTAAAAAAAAGGACAACAAATAGCATAAAGTAAAATCTATGTAAATGAGTTTAAGCAGTTAAAAAATTATCAGATTAAATAAAACAAGTCATATATATTTGTGAGACACACCTAAAATTTTAAAACACAGAATGATTGAAAATACTAGAAAAAGATACACTAGGCAAATACTAACTAAAAGACAACTGTATTAGCTCTACTAATTCCAGACAAAATAGACTTTAAGAC